ATTTTTATACACGCAATGGGCGTTATCTGCTTGGCATCTACAGGGAAAGCTACAACTCATTTGTGGCATGAGGGTGTCCTGAAGTAGGTGACCCCAAATGATGGGCTTCCCCTTTGAAGCGCCGTTGAGACATATTAATATGGGTGTGTCGCAAAAAAAACACGCCCCTTATCGAACGGGTGTGCCCTCCCTCGGAAAAAAGAAGAAGAACAGAACAACAAAGTATCTCCACCAAAAAAAACAACAACCAGGTGAACCAACATTATTTCAAAGGGCTTTTCATTTAATGACGGACTGAAACATAGTTCTCCGGCCGCTGGGACGCGGTCCCTCCAGGCCAACTTGCATGACTGAGACCAGAAGTAGCTACTGTTTGGTAGAAAGGGAAAACATGTGTGTGTGCAGACTCTGAGGTCCAAGAGATTTTTTCATCCGAAATTTAAATGCAGGGGGCCACCGGGGATCAGGGGGGTCGGTGGCCAACGAAGACACCCCCCTGACCCTGTGAAAACGTACCTGCACGTGAGGCTTTTCCCTTCCCTTTGGTCCCTGAAAAGGAGCTGTCTGTTTCCTCTTTGTTTCTCTCCCACTAAGCGACGGACGATATCATGCACAAGGAGTACGACAAGCAACGTGACTGCATCCTCTCTCGGGAGGCGTAACCAAAGTGTGTGTGGTGTGTGTGTGTGTGTGTGTGTGTGTGTGTGTGTGTGTGTGTGTGTGTGTGTGTGTGTGTGTGTGTGTGTGTGTGTGTGTGTGTGTGTGTGCGTGGGTAGTCAATGGGGGCCAACCATCAAATTCCCTCCAGTGGATTTCCATGGAACTGATTTAGGGGCGGCCACTTCATGTTACCTAAAATCATCCCCAATCGCAACTGTCCACTCTCCGTTTGCCCAGATGCTTACAACCAAACAGGGAACCAGAGCAGGGGCTGTGGGAAATGGAATCCCCTTCTGCGATACAACAAGGGCTTCCCAAAGACGAACTACCCCCCCTCCCTTTTTCTCAGGGAGAGATTCCCAAAAGCATCAGAGAGGGGATAACCCTCGAGTGATCCCACAATGCTGAACCGGACGCTAGACCCAGTTTCCCGCCTCTCCGGGGGGATCCACTCTGCAAGCAGCTCCTGGTCTCCCGCCTCCTCGCCACCGTTTCTCACAGATAAAACTACACCCGGGGGCAGGGCTTCAAGGGATTTGGTGTGATTTCCCTTTTCAACGCATGTGAACCCGCCAAAAGGCTACCAAGCCTCAAAACACACATCGCAGGGCTTGAGGAATCCATCATGCAAATTGGTAGTCAGGGGGTCTGGAGCTTGGTCAGCCAGGGCAATGGTCAATGACGTCGCCAGAAAGCAGGGTCCTTGAGCCAATCCCAAGCAGCAGGAAATGGAATATCCTTAGAACCAGCAGTCCACACCCAACGTGGAGAGCTGTGACAGCTTTGTTGCCATGGACCCATGCCATGAGCAGCTTCTTCTGGGCAGGGAGAGGGGTTGGGAAGGGTACACCTAGGGGCTCCTCTTAGCGACTGAGATAAAGGGGACCTTTGAAGAGTGCTGTTTGACGTGCTTAGAATTGTGTTCAGTGTCGCCTTTATTTGCCTGCTTGCAACTTGACTACTTCATCCTCTCCCCCAAAGAACAAATCTCGCCCCAATCCGATCAACCTGGCGGAAATACATTATATCAGCGGGGTCGGGTCCAAGAAAACCCAAGGGGCTGACCTCGTTCGACCAACCGGCAGGTGCAAAGGTCTCGACTGGGGCTGATTGCTTCCGAAGATTTCAATAAAAGACCCGCGAATCTCCGCACCTCCCAATCCTTGATTGATCGCAGGGGTCGTGCTTTTCGTTGGCTGCCAGCCCCAAAGGCGCTTGAGAATCGGCAGTTTCAGCTATTCGCCCTGGACACCGCCGGACACCGCTGCCAGAGCGGCGCTGGTGGAAGGCATCTACACCAATTTCTGCACCCAGAACAAGGTCGCCCAAACGCAATCCAGAAAAGCCAAAGCCCCAAACACTTGCTGGGTCAGTCGGGAAGTCGGTGGTTGTGACACGGCTGGGACAGCGAGCCTTCGGAACAGGAGTTAGAGGTGCTCGAGGCATCCAGGCGCCTATAGAGGTTGTATACCACTCATATAAGGGGTATGTACTGCTGCCCCTCATCCCTTTAGGTAAGTCCGGCAAATAACCTCCACACTGCCAAATCAGCGGTTTGAGGTTTGATTTTTGCAAGCCTCGCTTTTTGCAATGGCAAGCCCTGATTAAGGAACCCCTCACTAGCAGGGGTTTCGATTTGTGTGAGGATTCCACTCTTCCAGCGGAATCGTACATTGAGAGTCAACATTAGTTCTGATAAACTGGGCTTTCCTTGGCTACCCTTTCTTCCGGCTCTAGTGATAACAACTGAGGCTGTTTGTCAACTAGGTTTCAACGGGCCAACTGAATCGGCCAGTGAATCCCAGTGGTTGGTTTGAAATTGTTTGGCGTGAGCCACTGGTTCAAACATATGGCCATGGGTCAAAATCCCGTACCCCCAGTGAACATCCCAATCCCCACTGAAATAGACCAAAATGGGTGGTGCACCTACCTCAAAATGGGATCCCATTGGTGTTGACTCACAGCCATATTATGCCTTGGGTTACCCACGCAAACGTGGAAGATCAGGGTTCGGCCACTGGTTTCCATGCTTGAAACTTGAGGTCCACGCCCACCAAGCATTTTGCCCGGGGCTCAAATCACAAGAAGGCCAGGCAAATAAACGACTTGCCCAGAGCCAATGACTTCCCATTGGAATAAAACAACAATAGGGCAATAAAAACAACTTTAAGACAACCCATTAAATCTATTATATTCGACAAAGACCCCTAGACCAAGCAGACTTATGACATGCTGTATTCAGGACTTTACCCTCATATGTTTACCCAGTGCTGTATCCTCTAATTTCATTTGACATGATTTAAACTTTTTGGGCGCCTGCAAAATAGTGTTGCCAGGGTCCCCCGAACAGTTTGAGCAAGTTGTGGCTCAGCTGCTGAATGAAGATCTTGCTCAATATTAGAGCCTTCTCCGGGGTAGCGTCTTGCTGGTTTCCAAAAGGAGTTCGCAACTGGTAAGGCTAAAAGGATTGGTGGCTTCCACGCAAACACACAAGATAAAGCCCAGCTGCCATTGGAAAAAAGGGCAAACAAGTTTTGGCAGTTGACTCTACTTGAATCCCTTCTCCAACAAAAAGGGGGCAAAAGGGATTGAACACGGAACAAACAAAGGAAATAGGTTGGGCGTCTGGGGCAGGGTACTTGAATCGATGAGCTCGACCGAGATGCTTGCCGCAGCGCCAGGCAGGTGCAGAGACCCAGTGCGAAAAATCCTGAGCAAACCGCCCATCTTGGACGCCGCCCAGGGTTCCAGTTTTTGAGTACAGGGTCGCCTTAAACCCAGGGGTTCATTACCCCCCAAAATGAGGAGCCCTGGGCTTAAGTCAAGTCAAAAAGTGAAACCCTGCTGCCGCCTTGTGCCCACTTTTCAAGTTTATACCCAAAAGGCATCTCTGGTCTCGACAAGCACAAGCCATGTCTTGAATGCAAAGGCCACTCAAACCAGAGACCAGTGCGTTTTATTTTTTTTTGGAACCCCTTAAACATGTTTTCTGACTTCAAATCCGAGAAATAATAGGGGGTCAAGAAACCAGTCGGTGTGCGCAAAACAGGGTAAAAAAGCATACCCTAGGAAAGGTTCGCAAGGCCTTCAGATTCAAGGGGTTCTGATCGAAAGGTCAGAGCAATGACCGTAGCTTGAACAACCTCAAATACCCATGGCCGATACCCACCAAAGGCAAGAATTCATGATTTACTCACTTGCCGAAAGGACCTGGATACGCAAAAAAACAACAACTTGTGGAACCTATGGACCAAATCAGGGAAACCAAAAGGTTACGTACCATAAATCGATTCGCCATGAAAAACTTTAGACTAAAATCATTCTCTCGGGGGGGGGGGGGGTTGAGAGAGGACCTCTGGCTATTTCATGGAGCCCGTCTTGGGAGGTGGTTTCGGGACCATTTACCCTCAAAAAGGATGGTGCAAATCCTCAGGCCAAACCTGATCCTGAGCATTCCTCCCCAGAAAACAACAAGAAAAACAACCACTCGTAGGGGGCTGTTTGAAGGAACTGGGTGCGCTGGATGTCCTAAATATTGAGGTACGTGCACTTTACCTTTTGACCAACGCGCTTTTGTTCGGGCATCCACCGTACGTAACAGATTGAGAAATGCACGCCTGAAAACCCACTTAGCACATATAGGAGCAACATCAGAAGATCTAAACATGTAGCTCAAGACACACACACACACACATGAATCTTGTCTTTAAACCGGGCTTCCGCAAACTCGGCCAACCAGTCTTTTTGGGGATCGATTTGAAGGTGATGTGAAGTTGGCCGCTTTTGTGAACCCTTTCTCCCTAAAACGAAGCCCAACCACGAATGGTTGGTTCAACACCCAAGAGAAAAACTGCAGTTGATTTTAGATGGCCCAGACATTCTTCATATAATGTAGTGGAGTGATCCGGGAGCGTGCTAAGCCAGAATTCCCCAGTTGACCTTACTAGCCCGCGGTGAATCCTTTTCAACACTGTTGCAAAAACCGCCTGGCAACTCCAAACCATTCCAGTTTCAAAGGGGCAATGGTGCGAAATCCGTCATCCAGCTTTTGCCCCTCTGATTTTCCCTTGGGGGCAAAACGCCCAGAAAACGTTCCCCCGCTTCCCCGGAATCCGGTGACACCCTTTCCGCTTGGTTGGCTACAGCTCTGGCGCTCGAAATCGGCTCTGGGCTTCCCAGCGGATCATGGGATTTGTCAGACAAAAAAAAATCTGGCACGGAGATTCCAGACCAGACTGAGCCAGAAAGAGCTCAGTCAGATCCGGCTGGACCAAATCTCCACAAGTTCTGGAATGGGATAAGCCATCCCAACTGATGCCTGAAGTGGCGTTTGTCCATCAGTCAACAACTCGCCACCCACGAAGGAATCTCGGGACCTTTATGGGGCCGGAGCTGGATATTCCGAGGGAGCTAGCGAGGTTCGGAGTGGGCATGCGAAGTTTCGAGTTCGACTCGGCTGGGCCATTGGCCACTCCCGGGTGTTGAGGGTCTCCAATTGAGGGAAAAAGTCCGAAACGGGCGCGGCCGAAAGGCGTTTTGGCAACATCCGGTTGAGACTGTCTTGAGTCGAGGTGCTTGCTTTCCCAACAGGGCTGTGCACTTTTTGGGTATGTGCCCTGCTCTGTTTTGATCTCGGAATATATCGCTGGCTCGGCAGGGGAAACGAACTTGAAGTAAGGCCCTCATGGTTGCGCAACAGATTGACAAACAAACAAACAAACAAACAAACAAACAAACAAACAAACAAACAAACAAACAAACAGTGCAGGCTAGATCGACAGCATGAGTCACAATCAAAACCTACTAGAGACAACCCCACAACGAACACACTAAAAGAAGAACGGATACCCTTCCACAAACTCTGAATCGGACAAAATTAAACGGATGGACTCTAAAAGGGAAACACTGGAACAGTCTTCTGTGTTTGAGAAACACACGTTCTGAACATTCTACAATTCGAAAACAGGAATGAGCTGCAGGGGTTGCTTGACTGACAAAGACTTTCTAAAGCAGGTGTTTTATTTCACCCTGGAGTTGCACCCGCTGGGAGATTGCACTGGTGTCATGTCTTTTGAACCTTGTCTCCTGCCCAATACACAACAACGAAAAATGTCCTTCGTTTGAGCTGTTGAGAGCCCACATCTCCTGCCTTGACAATTTCACACTCAACTTGTACATTCGGCTGAACTGACTGATCCAAGAACTGTCCCCTTCGGAGAAAAACAAGTGAGACTTGATTCCTTCTCCAAAGAGCCTGACTTCGGGCTTAGAACTGCAACGTTTTGGGAAGCCCTGTTCGGGCTTAGAATTCAGATTCTTGAGAGAAGCCCTAAAAACAGCGCCTGAATTTGAGCCAAATTCAGATTCCAACTCCATTCCCCCAGTCCGCTTTTTCTTTCTCCCGCGAGAAGAAGCGATGTCTCGCCGGCCCGGAGGCTCTGAGCATCTCCGAGGCTTGGGCAGCCCGAAAGGATTATCTTCAAAGAATGGGGAAAGTATAGCTAGTGAAGAGGTCTACACTGAGTCTACACAAAACCTATGGGAAGAACCATGCTCCACCCCCCCCTTTATGCCGGGGACTGGTCTCAACTGACCTTCAGCTACCAGGCTTTTGCAGCTTGACAAACGGCTTCTTGGACAAGGAACGTCCTTCAAACAAGCATTTAGAAAGGCAGGTCCCATGCGTGATTGTTCTTGTTGGTGGGGGTTTGCGGTTTGCAAATTGGCAAATGCAAGTGAAGCACGTAACAAACCAGAGTTGGAGAGTGGAGCACAAGTAGAAAGACATAATGTGGTAAACCCTGGATTATTCAACCCCAAGTGGAATATGTAATAGGGGACCTCCCCGAACGTGAAGGACGTGACACACCACCCCCTTTTGATCAACCAGGGTGTGTGAATCCTTGGTTGAAATTTGTTCAGGCTTGCAGTCAATTACAATGACAAACAATAGACATTCACTTTGCCTGAAAAAGAACATATGTCTTCATTTTGCGGAAAATAACCACAAAGTCATTGGCTACTTGCAACACAGAAAGATGGCCAATGAGTCCACCTAGTATCTTTATTGAATGTGGTTATACCGTTATACCGTATACCCTGTTCTACATTTGGGTCATGCCATGTAAGGAGCGCCATTCTGGGTTCTGCGACGGCCCAAAAGCCTGGAAACTTCAAGGACGAGTTGGGCTGCCCTGTGATTCGTTGGATCCGATTCTCCCCCCCCTTTGCCTTTTGGGGGTTAGACATGTCCAACTCGATCCGACGCCCATGTAAAAGAAAGGAGCGAAACGCCAAAGCTGGGGGTTGAGACGGTCCCCAATTCTTCTGGCCCTTGATTTTGTCTGCACCGTCATTAAACCTCCCCAAGTGGATCTCATGGAGCCCAAATGATGGCTGTCAGGTAACCCTCTTCAGCGCTACCCCAAGTACCGCCCCAAGTTTTGATTGACTGTCCCCTCCAAATCCCCCCAAAAGACAAGTTTCTCCCCCTTGAACGTCTGCCCACGGAAGGCTCAATCAACGGCGAAAGGTTGCGCCCTCGCCCTCTAGCCTTGCGGGGTGTACCTTTGACCTGGTGAAAGTCAAGTCGAGCGCCCTGTGATACTGCTTGATCTTGGTGAGCCAAAAGGATAGACTTACAAATGCTCATTTGACCCACTTGCAATCCGCACACACACACACACACCACACATCCGAGCGCGCGCGCAGAGCACTCAAAATCAAGTTTGACCGGGAAGGTGGCTAAATCTCTGGCGGGTCCCCCGATGTTCCCACGGGAAACGGTCAAAAGGTCCACCCCAGCAAACTCGGCGACCGGAGGCCCCCTGCCCCGGAAGAGGTGAAACCCATGGCTGGCCAAAGTCGCTGGAACCGTCGACACCCCCCACCCCCCTTGGAACAGAAGAACCGGAAGAGTCGCGGTCGGGTCCAACGTCTGAAAGTTCCCAACAAGAAGCTCATCTTGCTTTTAAATGGATCCAAAGATATCCAAACTGCAATGCAAAAGAAACTCCCCTCATGAAGCTGAGAGATTGTGAGAAAACAACCCCAAAGGGTAGATATCAAGTGGTATGGAAATTGGTTCTGTCCGCCAAGCATGTTTGAGGGATACCCAGCAACACCATGACCAAGGCTCACCTTCTGATCCCAATCCTAAGAATTACATTGGAATATAGATGCTGGGGGCTCAGTTCCGTCCTTGGGCATCCTTCCCTTTTGGGGCAACTGATCTTCACCCACATATTGATCTTCACTAGATACCGCGAGCTCGCCTTGCGCTAATCTGGGTGTCAAATGGGACAGATCCATCCTCATGACTTAATTTGGACAGCTTGTCTCTTGGAAACCAGACGCGGAACAACTGGTCTTCACCCCCCTTGGGGTGTCATGGTTGGATTTTGTTTGATAGCCCATGCAAAATACGGAACCAAACTACAAATGAACGACCGGTAATAGTGTCCTCTTCTCATGTGTAATTTGCCTTGTGCCCACATGTTCGGTCTTGGATGGTCGGAAGGCCCTGAATTGCTAGGCTGGCCTTGCATCAAAGCAATACACCGGGCCTGGCTTAATCGATCTGACTAAATCATAGTAGCTACTGATTCATCAGCCCAACAAAAGGGGCCTGTATGAAGGGAACCTCCACATCAAAATTCAGCAAGTGCTGTCAACCTTTGATACAATCCGCAAAGAATTGGGCCTGCCATCACTCTCAAGCCAGGTCGCGACCCCAAATCTCAAGTAGGGATAAGCCAAGAGGTTCATCGCGAACCTCGCACCCTGTTTTATCGTTTAGAAAGGAAGCTCACAGGAAACGGACCTGGAGGGGTCCCACAACTGGCCAGAATCAACCGATAGTGCCTACCCAAAACTGACATCCCTGGAAACTTTGTCTGTTGCTAACATGAACATCTCATGGGCTTCGCTCAATTTCTCCTGATGATACTTTCGGGCTTGTCTGCCCCAGTCCCCACTCTCCCCCTTTTAACCCAAGTCCATGCTGGGGTTCAAGATATGGGGATAAACCTCGCCGGCCAAAAGAACTGAAAGCAAAAGGGTCATCCCTTCTGCAGACCAAAGTGGCAAAGCCAAAAGGTCAAAACGCCTTGGGCAACCAAATGGAGCCATCCTGTTAACGGCAACATTAATCTGTGGTGGACCCTTCCACAAAAAGAAAGGAAATCAGATTGGAGAACCTCTATGTAAGGTGAACATATGCGTGAGTTGCCCTTCGTTTTGCTGTAAACAATGTGCGGCTCGTTCCCTGGTGCCTAGATTGAGCACAGCATCAGGAGATTCGGAAAGGACCTCTCGGAAACTGTTAGGGTCATGATTTTGACTCTTCCTGGGGATTAAAGTCAGCAACTGGGGTTGTTCCTCTCAACCAACCACTTGCGGAGTGACGTTGATATACATTGATGGTAACACACCAGCTACAGGAAAAAAGAGGCAGGCAACGGGTCAGGAGGGCGCCATGCCATTGCCATCTGTCCGGCTCTCATCTTTCAGCATCTGCTCCAACTTCTTCTGCTGCCTGGCTTGGATCCGGACCCCCAAATTGTTGGCTTCTTGTTGGCTTCCCTTTATGCAAATTCAACCCACCCACTCGTGCTCCTTGAACCATGATTTTTTTGCTGGTGCTCAGGGAAGCAACGTAGGTTTTGGGAATGAACCCACGGATCTCCCTAGGAAGCTAGGGGATGGATCAGTGTGGGGTGAGTTGAATTCATGCCCGGCCAAGCAAGAAAAGTACATCGACACGCCCCCTGGGCGGGCACTCACACAGTCGCATCCGTGCCTCTCCGGCAGGGAAGAAGCTAATTGCTTCACTGTCCTGGCGACAGAAAGGCTGTGGGCTGTGGTTGCTCACGTGGGTTGGCAACGAAAAACCGTCTGGGCTGATTGAACTTCTCCGTCAGCAAACATGACTCATCCGTTGATTCCTGCAGAAAGGGGAAACGGGCCCCTTTCTGTGATACCAAAGTGGGATGCCCCCCGGATGGGAATCCATAATTGCTTCAGTTCAGCACTTTGAAGGAGATGCTGACCCTCAAACTAGCAACCCCCCAACACATTTACATGGAAAAGGAGTTTCCTCTACAAACTAGCCTGTTGGCCATCTTCCTAATCCGTAATCCGTGCTGCAATTTGTGGGTCAAAACCGCATGTTTGGAGCGTGGAAATCTTATCTAATCCGTAAACCGCATACTTCGCAATCCGCTAATCATTTGTGGTTTTGAACAAGCTAAACACATGGTGGTGTTTGGGGTTCCATGTTGAGCCCTCTTCAATTAGCTGCTTGCTGCTGACGTCTTACGTCAGTCCCAAACGTTTTGAGGTAAACATTCCAGACCCCCAATGGAATTCCAAGGGAAAAATGTTTCTTGTGTTGCTGGTTGACTTTGAAGCGTCCCTCTTTCTCCAATCCAAAGTTTGAAGGGCTTGCGACCCCTTTTCGGTTTGCTTGCGACCGTGGACATCTTCTCGCTCAAGGAAAGAAGCCAGCGCCGCCCGGCGCCGGCTTTGGCCACCGCCGCCGCTATGTCCTGCGAGAGATCGGCCGGTTTGCCACGTTTTGGTCGGAGCGTGCAACAATGGATTCGCAAAACTGGTCGCCTCCCGGAAGCCTTGAAACCTCCAAAAAAGGAGGCCCTTACCCTTCCAAGGGTCGGGGAAAAGAGCTTGCCCAAGTTTGGCTTGGTGTCTTCCCGACAAGCAGCACTTGCCGCTTTTGCGTCTTGAGCCGCTTCGCCTTCTGCTAAGCACGCGCGCTCATGTGCACCCGCTCACGCGCACCCGCTCACGCGCACCCGCTTACCACTGCACGCATGCCTGCCTAATGGTAAGCCGCCCTGCGCTCAACACTCCACACATGCCTGCCAAATGGTAAGCACAACCACTCACGTCCACACGCTCAGCACTGCACACATGCCTGACAAATGGTAAGCACACCCGCTCACGTGCACCCGCTCAGCACTGCACACATGCCTGCTCAAAGGGTAAGCACAACCGGGCAGGGTGACAATTTGGCTGAAAACTCAGTGGGAGGCATCAAGAATAAGCTGCGAAGAGCACAGCTCAAAGGACGTTCCAGAGGTAACAAAGTCACAGCAACCCTGGCATGCGCAGTGCTGAAGCAGCTGCGACACACTTTCACGAGCGGCGGTGTCGCGCCAGGAGCTGGCTCGATGAGTTTGATCCTCTGGTGCAGAAAGCAGCTCGAAGCTTCCTTCAAGCATAGTGGCAAGTTTCTTGGCCGCAGTAAATTTGACATGGCACCGAGCGTGTCGCTAATTGAGTACAAAACAATGAAAATGCTTCCAAGGAAATTAGTAAATTTCCTATCTAGGGGAAACGCTGATTTTGGGGGACCCTGGTACACTGAACATGTTTGGTTCTCTTGAATAAGATTTCACAAGCACGGGAAATTTTCGCGAAACCCATAGGTGGGTTTCTCTTCCCTTTCTGCGCAAACCGTCCAATTCTCTTTGTGGTTTAATGACAAACAAAATTGTTGTCCGAAGGCCTGCGATCTGTACGCATCTCCAAAGTGACCCCTGCAGACTATTCAAAAGGTCTAAGGGGCGACTTGGTCACACCAAAGACCAGTCATGAATACGACGGATTCCTTTCTTTGTCTAGTGTAGGTGCCAATAGCTTTCCGAGGAATTGCCAGCCTTGTTCTGGACCCAGTGGGTAAGTGGGTGTGCGTTTCTTCGTGGCTACCTCTTTTCGGCTTTCTTGGACACCCAAAGCTCAGATGCCAGTTGGCCATGGGAAAGAAAGCGCCCATTTTTTGCTGGTTGAGTTTAAAGGGGAACCCATATTCAAAAAAAGGAAACAAGGGCACTGGGCAACGGAGAAAGGACACCCCAGGGCCATGTTTTTGGGCTCAACTCCCAAAACACTAAGACACCTCGCCGCGCCTTGTCCAGCGCGCTGTTGGAGTTTCTGGACCTTGGGCCAGGGGTTTTGTTGGGTGTTGAGCGTCGAAGCGGCCTCGTTGCTTCCCTACAGTCAGCCCAGCGGTAGGTGAAATATAGGAGTCTTTTCTTGAAGGTAGCACCTGTTGGGCTGTTTTGAAGGGACGCCAAATGGAAAACTGCAACTTTTTCAGGGGGGTCTCCTTTAAACAAAAAAAACAGAATATGACTGTTGAAACTGTGGAATAGTTGATTAATCCTTTTTTTTGGAGGGGGTGGAATATTTCACCCCGTAATTCCAGTTAGTGGTAGGACAGTGCTCAGTTGACTTGATAACAGCCCCTGACTCCCTGATAAGTTTAAATCCAACAGTTAAAGTAATGATGCCAGAAGCCACGCGTTCTGGAGTCGATGGGCCACCCGACCTCACACCCGGACCAAGTAGGGGCCTTGTGAAGTTCCCAGATGAACTGTTGTGGGCAGGGCGGTTTCCAATGTGGGAAACTCACCTGTTTTTGAAAGAACGGGAAAAAAGGAAACCTGTTTTTTTTTGGGAGTCCCCACGTGTTGAGACGAACCCGTTTGCTCCGAGAACTTGAACCTGCAGCTGGTCAGGGTATCTGGAATCACGTCCCGGGGTTGCGCCTACGCATTTGCTCCGCGGCCGTAGAAGCCACTGCTTCAGCTTCTGAAACCCAACATACAAATGGGTCATTTTTTGAAGAGGAACCCCCAAAATGGTGGCTGTCCTTTTGGTGGCCCTGAAAAAACCGCCAACAATGGGGCCTTTAAGCGAAACATGGTTCCCCACCCGCCAAAGGGGCGTCTCAAAGCCCGGAATCCAAGTCCCGGAAACTCAGTCGCAGCTTGGCTCAGCCTGTCTGGGCCAAATTGAGCCGCCAGCTTGTAGGAATCTGCGAGGATCGCCAACACCTTGGCAGATCCATATGTCAACTGCCTTCTGAACCCAGGGGTCTATCCCCTTTTTTCCCAGAAAACCAGACACACATGAAACAGAATCCTTCTTGAAACCGCCCAAAAACCGCGAAACGGCAGGCTATTGAAAAAAATGATGGTCGGCAAGAATGGACCAGGGATCAATGAACTCCTAGTGTCTCAATGCAATGTGAGTGCAGCTGCAACACGCTCGTCCAAGGCGACTTTGTTGGTGGTCCATTGTTTGGTCCACAACGACCACGTGCATGGGTGCTTCTTTGAGGGTAGCCCTTTAATGGTGCTTTTAAAGGGAAACCGCAAAAAGAAAGCCATCATGTTGAAGGTACCAATTTCAATGACATACCCGTAGGTCCAATAATAACAAAACAAATCTCCAGATTAGCCCAAACCCCTGTTTTGTGTGGGATTTTGCTGCGATTTTCCTGGACGTTTTCCTGGAGATGGGTTCGCTTAGACTGAAGTTCTGCAAAACAGCTTCTTATAATACGGAACAGTGGGCCATCTCAAGAAGTTCAAGGGTCAAAAGTCAGAACCTAGCGCTCGTGTCTTTGATGCCACCGAAAAGAACGCCTCCCCAAGGCAGGTGGCGTGACAAGCCATTGCAATCTTACAACTATATACGTTACCTCAACTGTTGGCCTGTTGTGGTTGAAATTTGCGGGCCCCCCCTTTACACAACTGTGTTGGCCTTTGACCCCAATATTGAACCAAGCACACACTGGGCCCATTATCTCGACTGCTTTTGGAGATTATCAAGTCAGAAACTGAGGTTGTTTCCCTTCAACCTACCACTTAGGGGGTGACTTTGATAATTGTAAAATACTGGGGCCAGACACATTTGGGCGGGTCGTTTCTTAAACAAAAAACACACACACACACACACAAACACACACGGGCGAGGCTCTGGCCCTTGGCAGCTGCTCGGTGGCGGTGACCACCTCGCAGCCGCGCGGGAATTGGTTTCCGGCTTCCCGAGGTCAAAAGGAAACGGCGAAGGGGGGGGTGACCTTGAGGTGACCTTAAGGCTTTGGACCTTCTGGGGAAAGACCTTCAAAGGACGTAAAAAAAAGAAGCATCAACTGAAATGCCTTGGATATGGACTAGCCCAAGGTGGGCTGAGACCCAGGGTGAAACTTTAACACACCAGTAGCTTCCTAAAAATGGAGTTCGGACCCACTTTGGGCTGGTATTTGAAGGGACGCGACAAGGACACCCTAGCCGTTTTAGGTAAACCATTTTGGTTGTGCCTGGCGAAACAAACATGACAAACTACAGTAGTGGAAACGACAGCAATACGTGGCAACAAGGCAACAACATATCTCCCAATAGCTGCAAAGGGTTTGTGTCACAAAGGAAGAGAAAGTCATTGTTTTCCAAATAGAAACCAGTACCAGTACCACTAGTGTGAGGCCTTGACAGTTGTCCCACAAGGTCTTCAAAGCCAACTCTACATTCAAAGGAAGATTCCCGACTAAGGAAACAACACACCACTCAAGAAGAGTGGGTTGGGGAAAACAAGGGGATGAGCAAAGAGGGACAAAAACCCAATCGTCGCCTCGTCATTCCCTGCTCTTTCCAGTCCCTTGCTCGTCGTTCCGGCAAGCGAGTGTGAAAAACCGCAGATGGCACTTCCTGAAAAGCGAAGGTCCATGTGATAGGGTAGTTCCAACTGGTTTAGACTACGTGCTCAAGGCGGGCTTTGTCTGATGCGACCGCACCAATCTAGAGTAGTCCTTGGCCGTCTACACTTCTGGAAGACCCAAACATGTTTTTTCCAGTTCAGACATCTAACCCAAATCACAATCTCCCGATTTCCTTCTTGGAAGATCTCCGGGGGGTCCGCGTTCGAGAGCCCATGTCTTTCAGCAAAAAGAACCACGCACCAATCCCCTCAGCAGCCTTGAGTGGTTTTCCCCCCTAAAACCAATTCTGCCCTGAAGGGTTGATACAAGTAGCATCCCACAAAATCAAACACAAAATCCCTTTTGAAGTGCTGCCCTCAGCCCAAAATCAACATGACATCGCTGTTTTCTTTCTTTACACAGCACTTGTCCAAACGCTCATGATCCCTCCGATTCTTGAACCCTCTATCCTTAAAGCAGCCCCTCACGGAGGTCTACTCATCAGGGATTGACATGAACTCAGGTCGGCCAGAACCCCACCCCCAGGTCCGATTCTTCGGTGAGGGCATGGCAGGGTGGTTCTTCACTACCAGCTGCAGCAACTGGGAGCAGGCCTCCAAGGGTTCTCTGAGCAGAGTTCTTTTGAATTTCCCTTCCGATGGGTTTCTTTGGTTCTCCCTGAGAAACAAAGAAATAGGTTTGAGTCTATGTGTTGCATCTTCTGAGTTTCTTCAAAAGCAACCTAAGGGAACCCATGCATGTTCTGTGGGTTTCACGACAAAAAAGTGACATCCTCAAACAACACACCCTGAAGCAATGTCTGCGGATCTTGGAAT